GCTGGTTATGCTGGTAGTGCTGGGTTGTGCTGGTAGTGCTGGTAGTGCTGGTAGTGCTGGTAGTGCTGGTAGTGCTGGTAGTGCTGGTAGTGTGGTTATGCTGGTAGTGCTGGTTGTGCTGGTAGTGCTGGTAGTGCTGGTAGTGCTGGTAGTGCTGGTAGTGGCTGGTAGTGCTGGTCGAGTATGGCTGGTTATGCTGGTAGTGCTGGTTGTGCTGGTAGTGCTGGTAGTGCTGGTAGTGCTGGTTATGCTGGTAGTGCTGGTAGTGCTGGTAGTGCTGGTAGTGCTGGTTATGCTGGTAGTGCTGGTAGTGCTGGTAGTGCTGGTAGTGCTGGTAGTGCTGGTAGTGCTGGTAGTGCTGGTAGTGCTGGTAGTGCTGGTAGTGCTGGTAGTGCTGGTTGTGTAGTGCTGGTAGTGCTGGTAGTGCTGGTAGTGCTGGTAGTGCTGGTAGTGCTGGTAGTGCTGGTAGTGCTGGTAGTGCTGGTTATGCTGGTAGTGCTGGTAGTGCTGGTAGTGCTGGTAGTGCTGGTAGTGCTGGTAGTGCTGGTAGTGCTGGTAGTGCTGGTAGTGCTGGTTATGCTGGTAGGTGGGTAGTGCTGGTAGTGCTGGTAGTGCTGGTAGTGCTGGTAGTGCTGGTAGTGCTGGTAGTGCTGGTAGTGCTGGTAGTGCTGGTAGTGCTGGTAGTGCTGGTAGTGCTGGTAGTGCTGGTAGTGCTGGTAGTGCTGGTAGTGCTGGTTAGTGCTGTGTAGTTGGTGCTGGTAGTGCTGGTAGTGCTGGTAGTGCTGGTTATGCTGGTAGTGCTGGTAGTGCTGGTAGTGCTGGTAGTGCTGGTAGTGCTGGTAGTGCTGGTAGTGCTGGTAGTGCTGGTAGTGCTGGTAGTGCTGGTAGTGCTGGTTAGTGTTGGTAGTGTTGGTAGTGCTGGTAGTGCTGGTAGTGCTGGTAGTGCTGGTAGTGCTGGTAGTGCTGGTAGTGCTGGTAGTGCTGGTAGTGCTGGTAGTGCTGGTTATGTACTGGTAGTGCTGGTAGTGCTGGTAGTGCTGGTAGTGCTGGTAGTGCTGGTAGTGCTGGTAGTGCTGGTAGTGCTGGTAGTGCTGGTAGTGCTGGTTATGCTGGTAGTGCTGGTAGTGCTGGTAGTGCTGGTAGTGCTGGTTATGCTGGTAGTGCTGGTAGTGCTGGTAGTGCTGGTAGTGCTGGTAGTGCTGGTAGTGCTGGTAGTGCTGGTAGTGCTGGTAGTGCTGGTAGTGCTGGTAGTTTGCTGGTAGTGCTGGTTATGCTGGTAGTGCTGGTAGTGCTGGTTATGCTGGTAGTGCTGGTAGTGCTGGTAGTGCTGGTAGTGCTGGTAGTGCTGGGTAGTGCTGGTAGTGCTGGTAGTGCTGGTAGTGCTGGTAGTGCTGGTTATGCTGGTAGTGCTGGTAGTGCTGGTTATGCTGGTAGTGCTGGTAGTGCTGGTAGTGCTGGTAGTGCTGGTAGTGCTGGTAGTGCTGGTAGTGCTGGTAGTGCTGGTAGTGCTGGTAGTGCTGGTAGTGCTGGTAGTGCTGGTAGTGCTGGTTATGCTGGTAGTGCTGGTAGTGCTGGTAGTGCTGGTAGTGCTGGTTATGCTGGTAGTGCTGGTAGTGCTGGTAGTGCTGGTAGTGCTGGTAGTGCTGGTAGTGCTGGTTATGCTGGTAGTGCTGGTAGTGCTGGTAGTGCTGGTAGTGCTGGTAGTGCTGGTAGTGCTGGTTATGCTGGTAGTGCTGGTAGTGCTGGTAGTGCTGGTTATGCTGGTAGTGCTGGTAGTGCTGGTAGTGCTGGTAGTGCTGGTAGTGCTGGTTATGCTGGTAGTGCTGGTAGTGCTGGTAGTGCTGGTAGTGCTGGTAGTGCTGGTTATGCTGGTAGTGCTGGTTATGCTGGTTATGCTGGTAGTGCTGGTAGTGCTGGTAGTGCTGGTAGTGCTGGTTATGCTGGTTATGCTGATAGTGCTGGTAGTGCTGGTAGTGCTGGTAGTGCTGGTAGTGCTGGTAGTGCTGGTTATGCTGGTAGTGCTGGTAGTGCTGGTAGTGCTGGTTATGCTGGTAGTGCTGGTTATGCTGGTAGTGCTGGTAGTGCTGGTAGTGCTGGTAGTGCTGGTAGTGCTGGTAGTGCTGGTAGTGCTGGTAGTGCTGGTAGTGCTGGTAGTGCTGGTAGTGCTGGTAGTGCTGGTAGTGCTGGTAGTGCTGGTTATGCTGGTAGTGCTGGTAGTGCTGGTAGTGCTGGTAGTGCTGGTTATGCTGGTAGTGCTGGTAGTGCTGGTAGTGCTGGTAGTGCTGGTTATGCTGATAGTGCTGGTAGTGCTGGTAGTGCTGGTAGTGCTGGTAGTGCTGGTAGTGCTGGTTATGCTGGTAGTGCTGGTAGTGCTGGTAGTGCTGGTTATGCTGGTAGTGCTGGTAGTGCTGGTAGTGCTGGTAGTGCTGGTAGTGCTGGTTATGCTGGTAGTGCTGGTAGTGCTGGTAGTGCTGGTAGTGCTTGTAGTGCTGGTAGTGCTGTGCTGGTAGTGCTGGTAGTGCTGGTAGTGCTGGTTATGCTGGTAGTGCTGGTAGTGCTGGTTATGCTGGTAGTGCTGGTAGTGCTGGTAGTGCTGGTTATGCTGGTAGTGCTGGTTATGCTGGTAGTGCTGGTAGTGCTGGTAGTGCTGGTAGTGCTGGTAGTGCTGGTAGTGCTGGTAGTGCTGGTTATGCTGGTAGTGCTGGTTATGCTGGTAGTGCTGGTTATGCTGGTAGTGCTGGTAGTGCTGGTTATGCTGGTAGTGCTGGTAGTGCTGGTAGTGCTGGTAGTGCTGGTAGTGCTGGTTATGCTGGTAGTGCTGGTAGTGCTGGTAGTGCTGGTAGTGCTGGTTATGCTGGTAGTGCTGGTAGTGCTGGTTATGCTGGTAGTGCTGGTTATGCTGGTAGTGCTGGTAGTGCTGGTAGTGCTGGTAGTGCTGGTAGTGCTGGTAGTGCTGGTAGTGCTGGTAGTGCTGGTAGTGCTGGTAGTGCTGGTAGTGCTGGTAGTGCTGGTAGTGCTGGTAGTGCTGGTTATGCTTGTAGTGCTGGTAGTGCTGGTAGTGCTGGTTATGCTGGTAGTGCTGGTCGTGCTGGTAGTGCTGGTAGTGCTGGTAGTGCTGGTTATGCTGGTTATGCTGATAGTGCTGGTAGTGCTGGTAGTGCTGGTAGTGCTGGTAGTGCTGGTAGTGCTGGTAGTGCTGGTAGTGCTGGTCGTGCTGGTAGTGCTGGTAGTGCTGGTAGTGCTGGTTATGCTGGTTATGCTGATAGTGCTGGTAGTGCTGGTAGTGCTGGTAGTGCTGGTAGTGCTGGTTATGCTGGTAGTGCTGGTAGTGCTGGTAGTGCTGGTTATGCTGGTAGTGCTGGTAGTGCTGGTAGTGCTGGTAGTGCTGGTAGTGCTGGTTATGCTGGTAGTGCTGGTAGTGCTGGTAGTGCTGGTAGTGCTGGTAGTGCTGGTAGTGCTGGTAGTGCTGGTTATGCTGGTAGTGCTGGTTATGCTGGTAGTGCTGGTAGTGCTGGTTATGCTGGTAGTGCTGGTAGTGCTGGTAGTGCTGGTTATGCTGGTAGTGCTGGTTATGCTGGTAGTGCTGGTAGTGCTGGTAGTGCTGGTAGTGCTGGTTATGCTGGTAGTGCTGGTTATGCTGGTAGTGCTGGTAGTGCTGGTTATGCTGGTAGTGCTGGTAGTGCTGGTTATGCTGGTAGTGCTGGTTATGCTGGTAGTGCTGGTAGTGCTGGTAGTGCTGGTTATGCTGGTAGTGCTGGTAGTGCTGGTAGTGCTGGTAGTGCTGGTAGTGCTGGTTATGCTGGTAGTGCTGGTTATGCTGGTAGTGCTGGTAGTGCTGGTAGTGCTGGTAGTGCTGGTTATGCTGGTAGTGCTGGTAGTGCTGGTAGTGCTGGTAGTGCTGGTAGTGCTGGTAGTGCTGGTTATGCTGGTAGTGCTGGTAGTGCTGGTAGTGCTGGTAGTGCTGGTAGTGCTGGTTATGCTGGTAGTGCTGGTAGTGCTGGTAGTGCTGGTAGTGCTGGTAGTGCTGGTTATGCTGGTAGTGCTGGTAGTGCTGGTTATGCTGGTAGTGCTGGTTATGCTGGTAGTGCTGGTTATGCTGGTAGTGCTGGTAGTGCTGGTAGTGCCGGTAGTGCTGGTAGTGCTGGTTATGCTGGTAGTGCTGGTTATGCTGGTTATGCTGGTTATGCTGGTAGTGCTGGTAGTGCTGGTAGTGCTGGTAGTGCTGGTAGTGCTGGTAGTGCTGGTTATGCTGGTAGTGCTGGTTATGCTGGTAGTGCTGGTAGTGCTGGTAGTGCTGGTAGTGCTGGTAGTGCTGGTAGTGCTGGTAGTGCTGGTAGTGCTGGTAGTGCTGGTTATGCTGGTAGTGCTGGTAGTGCTGGTAGTGCTGGTTATGCTGGTAGTGCTGGTAGTGCTGGTAGTGCTGGTAGTGCTGGTAGTGCTGGTAGTGCTGGTAGTGCTGGTAGTGCTGGTAGTGCTGGTTATGCTGGTAGTGCTGGTAGTGCTGGTAGTGCTGGTAGTGCTGGTAGTGCTGGTTATGCTGGTTATGCTGGTAGTGCTGGTAGTGCTGGTTATGCTGGTAGTGCTGGTAGTGCTGGTAGTGCTGGTAGTGCTGGTAGTGCTGGTAGTGCTGGTTATGCTGGTAGTGCTGGTAGTGCTGGTAGTGCTGGTTATGCTGGTAGTGCTGGTAGTGCTGGTAGTGCTGGTAGTGCTGGTTGTGCTGGTAGTGCTGGTTGTGCTGGTAGTGCTGGTAGTGCTGGTAGTGCTGGTAGTGCTGGTAGTGCTGGTTATGCTGGTAGTGCTGGTAGTGCTGGTTATGCTGGTAGTGCTGGTTATGCTGGTAGTGCTGGTAGTGCTGGTAGTGCTGGTAGTGCTGGTAGTGCTGGTAGTGCTGGTAGTGCTGGTAGTGCTGGTAGTGCTGGTAGTGCTGGTAGTGCTGTAGGGTAGTGCTGGTAGTGCTGGTAGTGCTGGTAGTGCTGGTAGTGCTGGTTATGCTGGTAGTGCTGGTAGTGCTGGTAGTGCTGGTAGTGCTGGTTATGCTGGTAGTGCTGGTAGTGCTGGTAGTGCTGGTAGTGCTGGTTATGCTGGTAGTGCTGGTAGTGCTGGTAGTGCTGGTAGTGCTGGTAGTGCTGGTAGTGCTGGTAGTGCTGGTTATGCTGGTAGTGCTGGTAGTGCTGGTTATGCTGGTAGTGCTGGTAGTGCTGGTAGTGCTGGTAGTGCTGGTTATGCTGGTAGTGCTGGTAGTGCTGGTAGTGCTGGTAGTGCTGGTAGTGCTGGTAGTGCTGGTAGTGCTGGTAGTGCTGGTAGTGCTGGTAGTGCTGGTAGTGCTGGTTATGCTGGTTATGCTGGTAGTGCTGGTTATGCTGGTAGTGCTGGTAGTGCTGGTTATGCTGGTAGTGCTGGTAGTGCTGGTTATGCTGGTAGTGCTGGTAGTGCTGGTAGTGCTGGTAGTGCTGGTAGTGCTGGTTATGCTGGTAGTGCTGGTAGTGCTGGTTATGCTGGTGGGGTGAGCAGGGTAGGAGGGGAAGAGATCATGATTGTGTGTGTGTGTCGGGGGGGGGGGGGGGGGGGGCTGGAGATGTGCTTGTGAACTGTCACCATGGCGTATTGGCGTTGTAGTTTGGGGTGTCTGATCACGACGGTAAACTTCATTTTCTTGTGAGGTGCCTGCAAGGCAGTCACCACTCCCCAGAGTGCAGTGTGACGTCCCAATTGATCCTGTAAACGGTCTGAAACGGAAAGGCGCAAGAAATACGGAATCAAAAACGGAAAACTGGCCGTGTGTTTGTTGTCGTGTAAACACAGCCTTAGACCCGTTGAATCACACTGTTGAGCAGTACTCGTTGTTCAGGTGATGCTCAAGTATTGTGCCACCTATCAACCTTTTTGTTTGTTTTATGCACTTGAAGTACTAATGCACATGCATGTGATTTGTGTATGCGGACGTGTGTGCACCCGTGTGCGTGCGTGCGTGTGTGTGTGTGTGCGTGTGTGCGTGCGTGCGCATGTGCGTGCGTGCGCATGTGTGTACACAGGTCGTCTTGTGCAGTCGGTGTTTGGTCATCGTGACCTGGTGACCTGTGTAGCCTACTCAGCAGACACTGTGGCTGGTAACCGTGCTATTGTGGTGTCTGGATCCCGTGATGCCACCGTATTGCTATGGCATTGGTCTAACACGCTACACAGGATTATATCTTCTGATCATGACCAGGGAGGTAAGGTCATACTGAGAGAAGCTACCACTAGAGCTTGCTGTGTGATGCGCGCTGTACGGTGTGCAGTGGCGTGGTGTGAAGTGGTGCAGTGGTGTAGTGTGCAGTGGTATAGTGTGCAGTGGTGTAGTGTGCAGTGGTGTAGTGTGCAGTGGTGTAGTGTGCAGTGGTGTAGTGTGCAGTGGTGTAGTGTGCAGTGGTGTAGTGTGCAGTGGTGTAGTGTGCAGTGTGCAGTGTGATATCATGATATGCATTGTAAATGTGGACACTGCTCATTGGTGCCGAGCTGGGATTATCGTTATATGCTGCAAGTCTACAATTTTCCAGAGCATGCTTATCTCGGCTTCCGAGGGCCACTGCACTAAGATTTGAGCCCGTACTGCCTCCATGAAGTGTAGTAGGGTACAGTGAGTGCTGGGTCCCACTAGCCTGTATAGTTGCACAGGAAGCACGAGTTTTGAAATATGAAGATGTTGAACCTTCTCTGCTGGGATGACGTCATCATAGCTTTGTGGTAGAGCATTGCTGGGGTATTTATTATGGTTATTTTTATGAGTTGTTGTTATTTTTGTCTTTGTCGTCGTTGTTGTCTTTGTGTTGGTGATGTTTGTACAGCGGACAGTGCCAGTGCGCAGGCTATCCTGACTGGTCATGAGCTAGCTATCGTCAGTGTGGCGGTCAATGCTGATGTTGGTAAAGTCGTCTCATGCTCACAAGGTTAGCTCATGATATTGAGTGTGGTTTACTATTTAAGTGCTCCGAGGTGGTTAAGGAATTAAGTGTGTTTACCGGGCTTTTCGCCACCATTAAGTGGTATGGCCGGCAAGCTACCGGGTGGCCTGTCGCCTGGCGAGCTGCGGACCAGAACCGTCATTCTGACGGTCCCCAGTGAGTTTTCCTCGTATTCTCTAGAAAAGCGGTACGAATCAATGTACGCGGCATGTCAAGTCTCGGCTCCAGGATGTTGCCCGCTTGGAGTGCAGTTTAGCGGAAGACACTGCAAGATCACCGTCCAGCAACCCACCGACTGTGACCACTTGATTCGCAAAGGACTGCAGCTTGCCGGTAAGGAAGTGAATGTAGAACCTCTGGCGCCATTGGTCACGACACTGCATGTACATGACGTCCCCCTTTTCGTGGCCTCACCGAAGCTAGCTTCCGTGCTCAGCGAGTACGGCGAGGTAGTCGGGGCGGTTACGTTCGGCACCGTGAAATTGAAGAACGGCCAAGTCTTGGCAACAGGCACACGATACGTACAGTTAACACAAGCATCTGCATGCCGCACTCACACAACGAGCAACCAGTTTGGGGAATAGGAGGGTTTGTCAATTGCTTTGCCAGGCTCCGAGTGAGTGACAGCTTAGAGCTGTGTGAATGTGTGTGTATGGCAGCTGGGCAGGGCCCTGCTGCGGAGGCTGAGTGAGCCGTATGGAGGCAACCGGGCAGGGCCCGGCTGCGGAGGCTGAGTGAGCCGTCTGAGTGTGAGAGGCTGAATGAGCCGTATGAGGAGCCTGGTAAGCAAGGTTGACTCCCCTCCATGTATTTACAGAGTTTCGCCGGTAGACGGCATCGGTGTAGTTATTGTAGGCCGGTATGATAATGGATACCGACAGGAGAGAACTAGAATAGGAAACATGATGATGACAATAGTGGAGTGGGTGGGTGGGTTGAGAAAGAAATCCACTGCTAATGCGGACAAAGCAAGAACTGAAGTCAGGAACAGTGGACTTCGGAGAACAATGAGCGTGTGAGAGTTTGTTGGGAACAGAGCATGCGCCTTCTGTGTTAACATATTTTTGCGCGTGCGCAAAAAATCGTTTAACACAAGCATCTGCATGCCGCACTCACACAACGAGCAACCAGTTTGGGGAATAGGAGGGTTTGTCAATTGCTTTGCCAGGCTCCGAGTGAGTGACAGCTTAGAGCTGTGTGAATGTGTGTGTATGGCAGCTGGGCAGGGCCCTGCTGCGGAGGCTGAGTGAGCCGTATGGAGGCAGCCGGGCAGGGCCCGGCTGCGGAGGCTGAGTGAGCCGTATTGAGAGGCTGAGTGAGCCGAGGCTGAGTGAGCCGTCTGAGTGTGAGAGGCTGAATGAGCCGTATGAGGAGCCTGGTAAGCAAGGTTGACTCCCCAAATAGAGAACCTCCTATTCACTGTTAACTGTAGAGGGGTGCCACAGATTGTGGACAATAGTAGAGTGATATTGAGTTACTGAGTGTACAGTCGGTACATAGGTGACATTCGGTTATGCTCTGGCACCCACAATAAGTGGGCTCAGTCTGTCTGATCAGCGCTTACCCAGGACCGGTGCTGCCAGCTTTCATGGCAGTTTGCATGTAGACTTCCGTCACTCGGCAGTGCAAGGCACGGCCAAAGTCTCCCCAGGAATGGACAGAAGAGCACGCACGGGAGTGGGCATGTGAGCGGCGGTAGGGTGGCACGAATGGAATCGCTTGAAATCTTGCCTGGAGAGAGCGTCAGCAAGGATGTTGGTAGTTCCAGGTATGTGACGGGCGGTGACCATAAAGTTACCCTTGGCGCAGATGAAGAAGAGCTGCCGTAGGAGTGACATCACATTAGGGCAGCGACTGGTGCCAGACTTGAGAACAGCGGCGACAGCATCGTTGTCGGTATGGAAGCGGATACGCTTGCGACACCACTGGTGGCCCCACGTAGCACATGCAATGCAGATGGGATACAGCTCCTTGAACGTAATGCAGAGCGGAGTGTGTTGTGGTGACCAGGTGTCGGCGAACCAATGCGTGCCGTATACTGCGCCATGCCCAATGGCGCCAGATGCGTCAGTTTCTATCAGGATGTCGCTGGCCAGCGTCTCCTGGAGATCGAGGAAGAATGACTTGCCATTCCAGCCATCGAGTAGGTGAGACCACCAAAGAAGGTCCAGATGACATTCTGGAGAGAGACGGATGCGGTGGTAGGGCTTGGAAACGTTGCGCGTGGCATCGTACAGTCGGCGCATGAATGTACGGCCCGGCGTGATGACGCGGCTGGCAAAGTTCAGCTTGCCCAACAGCTGTTCAAGCTCCCGTAGACGGCAGGATTGGCGTTGGCGAAAGGCCAATAGTCTGGAGCAGATGTCGTCAACCTTGTCCTGTGGGAGACGAGCCACTTTCTGGACGGAGTCCAGTTCGATGCCCAGGAAGGTGAGACAGGAGGTTGGGCCGACTGTCTTTTCGTCGGCAATGGGAACTCCCAGGTAGCGGAATACGGAGAGGACTACGTTCAGACGCTGCGCACATAGCGTTGAGTTTGCAGGGCCACAGAGCCAGAAGTCGTCCAGAAGGTGCAGGAGGTGGGGAACCTAGAACAGTTCACAGCTTATCTGGCAAAGCGCGTCCGCAATGCAGTTAAACAAGTAGGGTGCGGACCTCAGCCCGAATGGCAGTACTTTGTCATAGTAGAATTGGCCCTGCCACTGGAAACCCAACAAATGGTATGCAGTGAGTGCGACCGGGACCAGTCGAAATGCATTGCGTATGTCGAGCTTCGCCATCAAGGCACCGGTACCTTGACGTTGCAGAAGCTCAATGGCATCGTCCACTGTGACATAATGTAGGGAGAACGAATCCTTGTTTATTCCATCATTGACAGACATACGGTCAGGGTAAGACAGGTGGTGAATGAGGCGGAATTTCCCGTTGTTCTTGGGCACTACGCCGAGCGGAGAGCATACAAATGGGTGGAAAGGCTGGACAGAGAAAGGACCGGCCGATTCGTCACGTCGGACCCGGTCAGCAATTTGTTGTTGTACAAACTGAGCATGTTCAATGGCAGTTGGGAGGTTGCCAGAGATGATAGATACAGAAGCACCAGAGTGGCCAATGGGGAACCCGTGTTGCAAGCCATTAAGGATAAAGTCAGAGAGGACACGATTAGAAATACGAGGCAAAAGAGTCATTAGGCGGGCTATGTACAGAGGCGTGGGGAGACTACTTCGCTGCGACGGGCTTGTCCGTCTGGCGGGGTCCCCGGCGACCGTCGTTGGTGCAGCGAGCGGCGGGATGACCTCGGTCGCCGCAGGTTGAGCAGACGTGCAAGCGTTCACAGGGCTGGTGTTGGCATGGGCGGCCACGGTTGAAGTTGAGGCAGATCTGGCGGGTGCTGCCCGCCCCGGCCAGAAATGGCCGCGTAGGACGGCTGGTGTTGGTGCCAGCTGGAGCATGTGGCCCTGCCAAATACTGTGGGCAACGGTCACGGCTGTGGTGCGTTGTGCAGCGCGGACATGATGGTCGGGGTGCCCGGATCAGGTGCAGGCTCCAGAGGCTTTGGTCGATTGCGTCCCAACGAGCCGAGGTTGTTGCCACCGCTGCACGGAAGGCACGGTCATACCCCAGTACAGCTGGGGTCGCAAACTGCTGGTTGGCAGTACAGATAATGTGCTGGTACGTCACCAGCTCCAGTGCTCGGAATGGCACATGTTTCAGTGCGCAGGCCATGTAGATTGTGTAGACTTCCAGCCAAGCAGTGAAGTCGACAATGGAGCGCTTCTTAGTCACACATAAATTGAGGGACACACGCCGGCCCTCTCCGTTGGCGGTACTGAGCTCCAAGGGCTCGGACCCTGCGCCCACATTCTCTGGGAGGAGATCCTCCAGCTCAATATATTCGCCGCGTGTGATTTTGTCAAGCAACTTACGCGGGACCGTGGGAACAAAAGAGCTGGACTCACGAGTGTTCGCCATGGGCGCTGCGATCGGAGGCAGCGCGGGTTGCATGAGGGAAATGTCCATGGGGCCGGAGTCGACCTGCGGCGGGTGATGGGTGACGGTGTTGGACGCGGTTTGGACCACATCTGCCACTGAGGGGACCGCCGCCTGAGCATGGCCGTCCGGATCCTGGCGAGCTGAAATTCGCTCCTCAAGGCGCTCGACTCGAGCCAGCAGGGGGTGCAGGGCCGTCGACACGGCCGCCGTAACGGAACGTGGATTTAGGCCAGTTGTGAGTAAGCTGGTCGGCTGGGGAACGGCGGACGGGATATCGTCCTGCTCCGCACGGGCATTGCCGGAACGATCCGCACGGGCATTGCCGGAACGATCGGCCGCATGGTCCGCAGGGGCTCGATTTGGAGTGTCGGCATACGGGGACGACGAGGCGCGCCTGCGACTGGAACGCCTGGGCCCGGGAGCCGACTGCTTACGTGCACGGGGCATCTCCGTGAGCTGTGGTAAACCTTGAGATTGAGGTTGAGAAAGAAATCCACTGCTAATGCGGACAAAGCAAGAACTGAAGTCAGGAACAGTGGACTTCGGAGAACAATGAGCGTGTGAGAGTTTGTTGGGAACAGAGCATGCGCCTTCTGTGTTAACATATTTTTGCGCGTGCGCAAAAAATCATCTAAAATTAAAAAAATCCATCCCAAGCTACATCAAAGGGAATACACCTTGCAGAATTTGGCATTCGGGACAAGTGCAGACGTGTAGGACATGCGGAAAGGCTGGCCACATTGCAAAAAACTGTGGTACGGCATCGCACGAAGATCGCACCCGATCAAATGAACCCGTACAACCTTCCGACACGCGTGCCCAAAACCAGACCAATGACAGCACCAGTGACCCTGGGCCACACGCAGATCCACGCACCCGATCCGGCCGACCCTCCCGATCAAATGAACCCGTACAACCTTACGACACCCGTACCCAAAACCAGACTAGTGACAGCACCAGCGACCGTGCATTACACGAAGATCAACGTATGCGAT